CCTTACCGCCGCGGCCGCTGCGCCCGGTGAGGCACGGCCCTGGCGTGCAGCGCGCTCGCATCGCGCGTCCCTGTCATGAGCAATTACGATGCGCACATAGGCCCTTCTGTTCCCCACTGATGTAATCCTGCGTTGAAGGGAACTAATTAATACAAGCGTTTTGTGGTGTGGGGTTGTTTTTTTTTCTTTTCTCTTCTTTTTTTTCCCCTATGGCTGGGGCCGTATAATTCCCTCCTTCCCTTACGTGCCATCTGCCCCCTCAGGGAAATCACTGAGGAGCAGAGATGTGCCTGGCCAAGGGATGGGCTTTCTAAAAATGATACTCTCTGCAAAAAGTTCTGACTCAGCCTTTTGGCTTTCAGTCTAGCAGTCCAAAAGGGCTTCTGTTACCGTCTGCATGAAGGACAGTGTGCTTTACTTGGCTTGGGACCTGGTTTGTGAGTAGGGTCTGGGTAACTAGCACTACTAACGGCTTGAAATTTACGGGTGACGGATGTTTGCTGTTTTAGTTAGGTGTTTGTGCACTGCCACCTTGTACTCATCTGTGCTTTGGAAGGTGAGGTGTGAAATGCCAAAAAAGTGTGCTTCTGGTTGATAGTATGTGAATTTGAGGCAGTCTGCCTTTGCCTGCTTTATGTGAGATTAGTCTCTTGGCGAAGCCGTAAATGAGGGCTGCAGCTGCTGTGGGTGCTCTAGGTGGATGTTCCTGAGTGGTGTCATTGGTCACATATGAATTTCAGTGCTGCTCAGGGGTTCTGAACACGGTGATGAAATTGCAGTTGATCTGGTGTTTTACGATACTTTGTTAACTTGCTATTGCCACCTGCTCTGTCTTAAGTACTCTTTCGGACTCTAGTATCTTCAATGTGTGGACGAGTGTAGAAGGTTAAATTAATGGAGGCCAAGTAAGTATGCCCTCCTGTTTGAAATCTGATCTGCACGTGAAGGTTAGTATGACACAGGATTTTGTCCTAGGCCTGAGGCTGCTTCAGAAACCCTGTTCTGCATCTAGTCATGTCATAAGACTTCAGTATGATCATGAGCAAGGTGATAACTTGCATCTTGAACAGCAGTGATGTAATTGTTTAATTTATCAAAGTTTACTCTGTAACTTTTATGAGGTGCCTGTCTGCTTCAACAGGTGCTGTGCGATGTTAGTTACTAGCTATTCAAAGAAGGGTATATTGTAGTCTTGCCAGAAGCACAAAAGTAGACAAGCTACCGCATGTTGCAGGGCCTCCTATCCTTTTTCATATCCTTTTATGTTCTTCACCCCTTGTGCATCCACATTGTTGCTTTATTAATGACATGCATTTTTTCTTCTGCAAAGAGTTTATTAGATTCAGAGAGTAAGAATAGGACATAGAATAAGTGAAAAGCAGTATGAAGCTCACTGATAGCAGCAAAAATGACTTCTGTAATAGACATGCCATAAAGTTTAGAAAGTTAACTTGAAACTGACCTCACTTAAAACTTGCCAGCCAGAGAGAAAGCTAAAAGAAAATTATTTGTGATAGGATTCTGCAAAATACTACACCCACCAGTGGGCAATAGATTTAAATTTCCTTCAGTGTAGAAGTATCAAGAAGCTTTACTGAGCTTGGTGCTGTTGTAATTCTTTTATGAAGTAACTTCGAATGTAAGCCTCAACCACTGCTTACATTGTTGTAATTTTTCTAGCACCCCTTTCATTACGTGTAACTCTACTGACTTTTCAGAGATTCACGTTAAAGGAAGAAGTGGCAATAGTGCAGCGGTTTGAATTTGGCATGTGTCTCGGTATATTTGGAAGAAAATCTATTACATAGTAGTGTTTAGAAAATGACATCAGAAAATATGACGTTAGTGAGTCCTGAAAGCTGACTTTCTGTTCTGGTGGCTTGTGCATTGGTGTTTAAGAAAAATTCTGTCTACTGCTGGTGAATGTTTATAGGGCTCTTGCATATGCGTTTGTAGAAGGTGTCTAAATTTGTTCAAGTTTGACGAGACCTGGTGGAATATCTGTTCGGAGAAATGGGCAGCTTGTTTAAAAAAGAGCCAGATTGATCCCTGTTTGGCCAGTTGACTTTAACTTTAGATGCAGTGGAAAACCTTCTTTCACAGCTGTCTTCCAGTTGCTGCCACGTATCTGGCTGTGTAAAAACTTCTGAAGCATTCCTCACGTGTAGATCTTTTCCCTTAATCAGGTGTAGCTATAAAAACCAAAACCATTGTTCGGTACTATGTATCAGAAGACTAATTTTTTTTTTCATGTGGTGCAGCAGAGTAAGCCCTAAAATCCTAGCTGAAAGAGGATTGGGAATTTTCTTGTCCATCCAAATTGACAGTTACGTTTATAGGATCTAAGGCTTAACTGCAGGCTGTCTGACATGTGAAAACAATTGCCTCTGGTCAGTAGTGAATGCAGAAGCAGCTGGTTGGACAATGGCGTTTCATCTGCTGTTCTAACGCGTACAAAATTGTCTTTAAACATGTTCAATTTTAACTAGACAATGAAAAGATTATGTAATGAAGTGATCAAGACTTGCTATACTCTTTGTTTCTGAAAGAAGCCAATCTGGTCTTGTTTCTCAGAGTCCTAACTTCAGTCATGGCTAGCCAGTCCATGGTATCTTTACGTTAGCACCATCACAACGCCTGTGGTAAAAGCAGTAAAATTTCACTTTCCTCAGCTAGTGGTTTTAACTGTGTGAGCATGATGCTATGCAAACGGGGAATGGCCTGGAGTACCAATAAATACATCCTTGCAGATTTGTTGAAAACTGCTGAGGAAAGGGTCAGAAGAGACAGGTATGAGCATGGCTTAGGACTAGTGGGGAGAGTCCTTATACGGGACGTAGTGTTGAGGTTTGCTGTGGGTGTTGTGAAAGGATAAAATATTTTTCTTGCTTTTTGAGCAAACAAATGTGATCTAACTAGTAAATGATCAGTAAGAAATTGCTTATGGGAGGGACCTCTGCAACATCTTTTTGGTGGTCTGGCTGTTTTTAAGGTGTGCCTCCCATGCTTCGATTTCCTAAAAGTTGTCATGTAACAATGTTAAGCTGAACAACTTGAAACTCTGAGTCCAACTGATTAATAATGTCTTAATTACAATTAAGACAGGCTTTACATTTTTTTTTTTTTTAAAAGCCAAATCTGGCATTTTGGAGTCAGATTTGTTTCTGGAACTTAATCAGCCTGAATTAAATAACAGAAAATTCTTAGTTACCTCTTGCACCTTGTCCTTTATTTTTACTTAGGTATGCTGATGTGCTCTGAGCTTCAGTTATGCAAGTTGACTTAGTTTTAAGTACCAAGCATTGATGGTTTTTTGTCGGATTCTTAGAATATTTGATTGACTACTCAACAAAATTAGACTTGGCAGTCTTATTTAATTGAAAAATGTATTTTGATGTGCTTAACAGTTTTGCCCACTTAGTATGTGTTTTATAAGGTGAATTTACTGCTTTTTAATAGATGGAGTAGTACACCACAGAAATAACCTTGATTCTCTTTCTCAGATATTGGTTAAGTTTTCCTCTTTGAGGTCACTTTTAATTAGAATATATAAATTATTTACCAAAATATTTTACAACTTGTAGAATAAGCTTACAAATCACTGTTACAGATTTATTCTGTGTATAGAATGAACTGTCATCTTAGTTCTTTAATACTAGATTCTTTTGACGTGGAAAATGCTGATTTTTTTCTTCTGGGCTAACTTTTACCAGGTTTTTTTTTTTGTTTTTTTGGTTTTTTTCTTTATTGGTTGTCTCTTCGGTTGCGCAAGCCCTACCTTTCTCATCTGGAAAAGCTGTACATGGCAGAGTGGGGTGCCAGTAGGTCACCTGATTTGGATGACTTGGGAGTTGCAGTAGCATGGGTAGCAGAACATAAAACAATTTTGAATCATAAAACAGATTATTGATTTCTCTTAAACTAACAACTGGAGATCTTCAGTTTGGTGGAATGCTTCTTACACCTTTGATACTCTTTCTCTTTTCTAACAAAATCTATTTCCTGATCCCATCAGAATAAGAGTTGAATTCACCACAACTGGAATGTGTATGGTGAATTTCCATGTATGTTGAAATGGTGATGATTAAAAAAATCACAAGGTTCTCTTACAACTTCTCTCACTTGTTTTTGTAATTTCAGGAGACTCTGCAAAGGATTGTCTCTACTCTAGCGAACAAAAATGATGAAATTCACAACTTCATTGACATGCTGAACCATACAATAAAAAATGTTCAGGTATATATGTTAAGGCTCATAGCTTGTAGCTGAGAGGGGAGCAACTTTCCAGTTTTGTCAGTTTCAAACTGTTTGGGTAGAGCGTAAGGGATGAGCTACAAGAATGAAGTTTAAAATATATCTTCATGTTGGAACCAGACACACTTAAAAAATAAAGTATTTTTCTGTCTCTAGCTGAAAGGTATAGCGGTTTTCCTTTTCATGTGAAAAGCTATTGTAGGATTTGTGTGGAAGAGAGAATCTGGATTTTGATGCAAGATCTCAAACTCATGTTAGGTGGAGGTAGTCTATTTTTTTTAGACTTCTAGTCTGCTTGGCAGACTGAAAAATGAGCTCTTCCTGACACTTGAGAGAAAATTCTTTGCTCTTTTTCTTTTCAGTAGTTGCAAATTGTGGGCTTAAGTTAAAAGTTAGACCTAATTTTTAGAGTATCTACACTAGGATGAGGTTTAGGTTCCTTTAGCCTATCAATAAGACATAAGTTGTTTGTTTTGTGTTAAAGCTGAGCATGCTAACTGCACAAAGGAAATCATCCAGCAGATTTTTAAGCTGGCTTCTTGAGTGCAGTTTTTAGTATCAAATGAAACCATTTCATATGGAACTGGGTAACTACTTCCTTACAAACATTTAGCAGTCCGTATATAATTGTGAGAAGGAAATCAAGGCCTTATGGCATGGAGCAGAGTTGCCAAGTATGTTGGTTCTCTGCAATTTTGAGTATCATGGAATTTTCATGGATTTCAGTCTTCAGTGTCCTGATGTAAAGTACGCTTAGGAGGTGTCCTTCATTCTTAATGTGCTTTCCCTTTTGATAAGGTGAGGAGCAGTGACAAGGTGTCTAGTGGTCATGGCAAAGCTTGTTTATGCAAACAATGGGACTGTCAGTCTAAAAGACTAGTCTGCATTGTTTCTAATACAAATTGCAGCAGTTTAAATTCTCTTCTCAGGTAAACTCTTCTAATGCAATCAGCGAGTTGGATGAAGAATTCGATGGTCTGTATTCTATCCTGGATGAGATGAAGGGGAGTATGGCCAACACTATTCAGCAAGAAGAGGCTCGTAAAATTCAAGCTCTGCAGGTAACTATATAACTACATTGTACACTTCTGCAGCTGAGTAGAAGCAGTTTCAAACTGCTATTTTAAATCTCAGCTGAAGGTGGGATTTTTGGTAGTGTTGCAAGAAATGCAGTAAGTGTAGGGTAAATGTTTTCTTTGATATAAGTAATTCTCTGCTCCCATCTTCTAGGGTACTTCATGCTCTCTAGCATATTTATGTTCTCTACATTGTTATGTAGAAAGGAAGCAGTATTACCTGTAGAGCTTACAAATGGAGAGTGGCTGCATAGGAGCAGGACTTAGATATGTCTACTACGTTCAAACAACTTCTGGACTGAAATTGATCCTGTAGACATGTCTAAGTGGTTTGCTCAGGCTTGAACTTAGTTGAGAATCAAGCCAGGTATTCTAAGCACAAAGGCTGGTCTCCTGTTGACAGAAGTGGCCATCCTCCACTTGTTAACATCAAGCAAATGGTATATGCACACTGGAAGACATATAGAAATTGCTTGGGAACAGGTTGTACTGGTCCCTGCTACTAAACCTGCTGTGTGAACTTCACCAGCTTGTATTTGTGTAATTTCGTGCAGGAGAATCTTCTCAATGGGCTTCAGAGAAACAGAAACAAAAACGTGACTTTCTGAAACAGTTATAAAGTCGGTTTTTCCAGTAGCATGTAGCAAGTTGGCTCTAGCAGAAGCTGTTTCTCCAGCTTTTTTCTTTAAATGATCCTACTTGTAGCATTCTTCTGTCTAGTTCTTTTTGCTTATGCAAACCAGTAAGGAAGATATTCCTGAAAAGCTTCACCTTCTCGTGTCTAGTCAGTTTAAAGAAGTTCTAGGAGTGGTTTCCTGAAAAAAATTCCACAGGCTTCCTTATAAGGTCTGTTTTAAGTTCATACATAAAGACTGGGTGTAAAACATTATAAAACTTCTGAGTGCATGATTTAAGCTGAGCACTTGAATGTACTCTTCCGCCTCTAATTTAATCTGTCTCCCCACATGTCTGTTTTAAGTCCTTCTGAAGTTTCTCAACAGATAGCTCAGAGGCTGGTTCCATCAGTGGAATTTTGTGGTTTTTTTTTTATCATGGGGAGGTTTACACAACACGGGGCCTGCTGGTGACAGATGAAGTTCAGCTATTTCAGAGGGGGAAAAGGATTCTCGCTCATGAGTTGGTGGGGTTCATTGAGAGGGCTTTAAACTAGGTACGAAGAGGGAAGGGGATATAACCAGGCTCACTAGAGAGGAGCCTAGGGGTGGCATACCACCACCATTTTTGGTGTGAAATCGGTAACGCAGCTCAAGTGCATCTACACTAATGCACACAGCATGGGTAACAAACAGGAAGAGCTGGAAACCATTGTGCAGCAGGATAGCTATGACTTAGTCACTATCATAGAAACATGGTGGGATGACTCTCATGACTGGAGTGCTGCAATGGGTGGCTATAAGCTCTTCAGAAGGGATAGGCAAGGAGGGAGAGGTGGTGGGGTGGCTTTGTATACTAGGGAGTGTTTTAGTTGTATAGAGCTCAACAGTTGTGATGATAAGGTCGAGTACTTACGGGTAAGGATGAGGGGGAAGGCAGATAACCTGCTGGGAGTCTGTTATAGACCACTCAACCAGGATGAAGAGGTAGATGAAGCATTCTACAGGGAGCTGGCAGAAGTCTCACAATTGCAAGCCCTTATTCTCGTGGGGGACTTCAACTTATCGGCATCTGCTGGAAATACAACACAGCAGAGAAGAAACTTTCTTGGAGATTCCTGGAGTGTGTGGAAGATAACTTCTTGACATAGCTGGTAAGCGAGCCTACCAGGAGAGGTGCCTCACTTGACCTGCTGTTTGCAAACAGAGGACTGGTGGGAGAGGTGGTGGTTGGAGGCTGTCTTGGCCTTAGTGACCATGAAATGATAGGGTTCTCGATTCCTGGTGAAGTAAGGGAGGGGGCCAGCAAAACCACTACCACGCACCTCTGGAGGGCAGACATTGGCCTGTTCAGGACATTGATTGAGGGAGTCCCTTGGGGGGTAGTCCTGAAGGGCAAAGGGGTCCAGGAGGGCTGGGCATTCTTCAAGAAGGAAGTCAAAGGCACAGGAGCAAGCTGTCCTCACATGCTGTAAGACAAACTGGCGGGGAAGATGACCGGCCTGGCTGAACAGGGAGATTTTGCTGGGACTCAGGAAGGAGAATTTACCACGTTTGGAAGAGGGGCAGGCAACTCAAGAAGAGTACAGGGATCTCGTTAGGTCATGCAGAGAGAAAATTAGAAAGCCAAAAGCCCAGCTAGAACTCAGTCTGGCCACTGTTGTAAGAGATAACAAAAATGTTTTTACAAA